GCTCACTTCGTACATTTAATGTTGCTAACTTCTCTTGCAGTGATTGTTCAACAGAAGCTTTAATAACGTTTTTGAGTTCTGCTATTAAAGTCCTTTGCTGAGATTGTAGAGCTTCGTTGATATAGGTAATTGTCTCTACATTTGGACCATTGTCCACTGACTTATTTCCGTTGCTGCCTAAAGACATGCAACTACCTAAATATTCTCTATGATTTCGATTCATAGACCTAGTTTGCATACTTCGCTTGGGCGTGGCTCCTCGCCCTTTTCCGAATCGCTGACCTCTCCTGATACCTGTAGTAGTCGAACCATCTTGGCAAGGTAGAGTATTTCGCGATAGAGTTTCGTCTGTTTCAGCATTACCAGCTGAGTGTAACTCCGCTGCCAGTGTATTGTTCATAAATATTAGTTGCCCTGGGTTGCAATCTGCCTCACATACTGGACATTTTGGGGTTGTCTTTAGTGTATTGCTTATGCAAACGTCGTGAAAACGGTGTTGACAAGGAGTAGTCGCAGATAGCTGTTCTGCTTGCAATTGCTCATGGCAAATGCCACAAAATGGATCTTGCGCGTTAATCGCTGCAACTATGCTCTCTGTGCTTCGTCTCACTGCCATAATGAATGCAAACTTTTGCTTGTTTCCAAACAACAAAAGGAAAACTAAATAGGACTTGTATTATTAAGTCTTGGTTATTTATTCTATCTGTCTTTTTCCCACACGTTATTGCTTACAATCCTTAAGCAAACCTGAGTAGTTGAATTTGTGCTATTTATTTTACTGGAGTCTATTTCTGATTTGGATTTTTACTGCTCATGGACTACTAGACAACATCCGAAATATTTCCAGTTTGTTGTAATTCCAAATAGTCCTTGAAACAATTAACCCAAATTTGATTATTATTCCCTCTTTTCCGATCTTACCCGCTGCTTAAAGTACTAGTAATTAATTGTGGTCGACTAATCCAGCAATGCCTGAATTACAATCGCAAATTCCTACAACTAACTACTGTCTGAACACAACGTATTTTCCCGAGAAAGGGGCCTAACAGGGTAATTAAAAATAATAGGTAGTAATTGATATGGTATAACTTCGAGTTTCGATTGGGGATTGTTGTGCACTAGGTGTTAGTCGTGCTTACGCAAGAAGTAAAAGTTTTACGTTCTTGCTAGGGTCCCACGTGTTGGGCGCCATATATGTAATGGTGGGGAGGTTCGGGTTCAGTTTTTGCCTTTCGTTTGGCCATCTACCAAAAATAAAAACAAACGGCCGTGGCTGTTGCCTAACCGGGTGCATAGGGATTGGAGGTTCGCACTTCTTGCTAATACTCGGACAATAGCTCGTCGGACTGGTCGGGGTTTTTTTCCTTTCCCTTTTGCACTTACCATAAACACATAGTTTAAGTGCGATCAAAAAAAATAAAAAAAAAACTTATTGATTTAAGTAAATCCATTGAAACAAAAAAAAAACCGGATTCTAGTATGGGTACCATTAATGTGTTCCGACCGAACACCCAAATTCAAACTATTCAATTTCGCGTAAGTGAGAGAACTAAGGTGTTGATCGTCTCTCTTTCTCTTTACCCTCCCTACCTTGACAAGCAAAAAAAAAAAATGGAATGTGGATGCTTGTCCCTATTTCAGGTTCTTAAACCATCACTATAAATTGCAAGCGGCTAACATGGGTACTTGACAGATAAAACAATTAATTATGGAATTAGGATATCATATCATATAAGCTAATATAATTCGTTTATTCACGCATTGTTCAATTTTGTTGCCAATTAATAGCAAGGTGAGTATAACTCTATTTACAAGAAAAAATATACAGTTTCCAAACAAAATTTGAATCCAAAGTTAATATGATGAATGTGCAATAACTAGTTTAAATCCCATAAAGAAATTAAGGGGAAGGAGAAATTCACCAACATTATCTTGAGACTTGACGGATAGTAATTAATTTACCGTCTTGCTAAATTAACTGCATTTAAATGTTCATGTGTGTATATAATTACATATATCTATAGGCATTGGTTTAAACTCTTACTCACGCGATATCCTTCGAAGCAGACGTTGGGCCCAATGTATACGACGATTATGATCGCTGTTGCTAAATATTACAAAAGAAATTTATAAGTATATAAACACATGTATATATATATATATATATATATATATATATATGAGCAACGGTCAAGGTCGGTGGTGTAGGAATTTCCTCTCGCTTTAACTTATTTAGGCATATTCATTGCACATTTTGTTTTAAAGAAATTAGTAAAAAAAAAAAAAAATTAAAGGAAATAAAAATTAAAACTAAGGATCTATTAGCCGTCCATCTTGGCAACGTTAAACAATTAATGGAATTGTATGGCAATGCTGCTAAGCAAGCGAAAGGGGTACACCAAAAGTAATACAGACTCGGCTCCTTTGTTACTCTCTGCAGGTTACACTATATGCTTAGTGCATGCGGTCCCGATGGTGCTGCATAAATAGTAAGCGTTTCACCCGCTTGACGCCGTTTTCCGAGGCTATGCCAGATGTTGTTCTTCGCAAGACAGCGGCTGATAAGTAAAATAGCAACAAAATTGGTTCTGCTGGGTTGCTAAGTGCGACACGTGCTCTTGGTGTTGCCCTTGTCTGGTCCGATCTCCCCCTCTGGTAGTGCCGACTAGTACGTCTAAATCTAGTCAACTGAGCAGGCACGGAAACTGTGGAAGCCTTAATTAGTTCCAAGTCTCAACACTAGCACATATAAATACCTTTTCTTTAAGGGTCACCCCGAATCACAATTAGGTTAGTGGGTCGAGTTGTTATGAAGGTTTTTGGTTTCTATTAGCGTACCAAAAGAACACTTCCAAACTGTACCACAATTGCAGCCTTGGTCGTTGATGTCTTTGCAAAAATTATTTGCAAAGAAAGAAAAAAATGTTATGAACTTAACTCGCACGCGCTTCAAATATATCTGACATGCTGAGCTGTACTTTTAACCTTTACTACTTCCCAACGACAAAAAAAATAAGGAAGCTTTCAAAAGCTCTACATCACGCGATTATATTTTAAAACGGTACTATGGCCTGATCTTATCACCTTTTTCCTCTCTATTCGCCCTATTCGGTTGCGCATGCCCTCAGCTGTGCAATAAACGAAGAATTGGCTTCCAGCGCGGTCGGTAAAGCAGTAACTAAACTAGAGCAGCTGATCAACAAGCAGATTCGTTTGGGGAGTGCAAAGCAGCCACTACAATTAACACCGTCGTCCTGCCTACCTGCCTGCTTGCCAGGCAGACAATCCTTTTCACGTGTCCTCGCAACCCTTTCGTGCCTTTCTGAGCTTAATTCGTTCGGGCATGAAATTTCCGCGTGCGTGCCCTCCAACCCCCCAACCAGGGCCCTGGCTCCCCTCCTTTCTGCCATTTGAGAGTCGCCACATTTCTTGTAGCTTCATTAAAATAAATTTAAATAAACTACGCCGCTTGTTGCTGTTGTTTTTCTGATGAAAATACCATAAACTGAAAAAGTTTTGCTTCTTGAGTAGCTGCTGCTGGCATGAGTAGGGCTCAAGGTCGCCGGTTCAAACAAAGTTGATCGAAATTATTTCGACATTTGTGCGAAATGTTTGCATTAGAAGTCAATTTATTAATTAGTATAATTTAAACATTTGCGCATCATTGCAGAGCAGCGCAATACCCAAACCCAAACTCCGTGCCAGACCCAAACTCCGAGCCAGACCCAGTTCAACCCCTCGTTACGCCTAAAACGCTGCAATACAAAATCGATGACAAATTGCGGACACGTTACGCGTAGTTGAGTCCAAGACGAGTTGAGCTGTGCGTCTCGTCGTTTTTGGTTACGGCGTGACTGCTAAATACGCTGACAATGCTACCCCGCTTGGAAAGACAAAGCGCAGCAACAACAGCAACAGCAACAGCAACAAACAATCTGAACTGCCACCAGCCACCCTGTGACAAAGGCAAAGTCAGGCCAGAACAACAACGACGAGGATATATCAATGGGCAAATTAAAATAACAACCTAATCATCGTTTTAAGACCGCGAGAAAGGCGACAACCAGGGAAACAGCGACAGCACAGCGCGACAGACAGAGACAGCGATAGAGAGAGCAAGAGAGAGAGAGAGACTCTAGAGCAGAGGGGTGCAATGCTCGCTGGGTGGGAGTGGGAGTGCTAGGGGGGTGGGGGTTGGTAGCTGCATGGCTGCTAAATGAAACGGCAAGGCCTTTTGTCAACGCTCAACGGCTCAGCGGCTCATACCCTGCGCCCGCCCCTGTTCCTGTTCCTGCTCCTGTTTTGAACATCCCTTTTTTTTTTTTTGGTTGTTGCTCTGTTTCCTTTTTTGGCATTTTTATGTTCCGGCGTTTGTTCCGCCTTCTGTTCCTGCACTCGGGGCTAAACAATTGCCCAAAGTGTTGGAAGTCAAACGCAAGTGCTGTCAGCCACCGACCCGCCACTAATGCGTCCGCCCGAGTCGCGTCTCGTCGAGATGCAGCGGCAACACCAGAGACATCGAATTGCTCCCTTGTGACAGGCCAATATAATGCGCCACGGGGCGACGGACGGGCGGGCGTTCGTTTTGGGCGATTGCATAACAGATTGCTGCGCTCATATCAAGTTGCAACCGTGCGCGTCTCGGCCACGGCGACGACCACGACCAGAGCTATGGCTCCGGCAGTCGCTCATGTCTCTGGCCCACTGATACGATATGATGGATCGCCTTAAATACCTTTAAATTAAAAGGACGCTCAAAGTTTTGGGGTTGAGTCTCTCGCAGCCGCCCACCCGTCCATATTCTGGCTTAAATGCGTTTTAATTGAACGCAGCGTGATGCCGCCTGGCCAAAGAGATTGTTCCTGTCGAGAACTGGCCCAGGCCCAAATCGCACAGTGGAATGCAATATTAGCAAAATGATTTTCTTACAAAACCAATATACAATTTTTAACCATGCTTCATGGGTTCAGGGTACAAATAAAACAGTTTAGATTTTACAATTTTAGCAGAAATTTTCAAGCACAAGCGAGCGTTCTTTATTAACTGGAAAATTGAAAATATTATTAAAACATTTTTACTTTTAAATTGGGCGCAATTTGCGGTAAGCCAGTAAGCTAGTCGTTTACTTTAACCTGTAGCACATTTTAAACATCCTGAGCTTAGATTACCACCCCGCCCAGATGGACTCTCTGCGTTTTCACAATTAATGCTTGCACTATATTCCTTGAGAGATTGATCATAGGTTATTTTTAAACTTCCGTACGGAATTGACTTGACGGTGGAGCATTTCACTCGAAACTCTTCAGGATTGGTCTGTGTCACGATCTCTCCTTTCACAGTGCCATCCCGGATGGTTCTATATTCCAATCAGTTAATTAGATTTACGTTAAATGTGAATAACTATTGAAAAATCACTTTACCTTAATAAGAATTTGTCTCCAACAAGAGGCGTCAAAATAAAGGTGCCTCCTTCAATACGACCAGTTATCTTTTCCGACGACGCCGCGTTGGCAAAGACAACGAGGAGCAGCTATATGAAAATAGAGCTTAAAAATGTAGAGCTTATAAAATCGCGAACTTACCAAGCAATACAGATTTGCAAACATAATGTCGCCGATTTTGCAGTATTTGAATCTGGCACTGCACTAAGTTTGCAACTGCAAGCAGCTCGTTTTTAAGCGCAAATTTCCACTCCGTTTTAATACGCAAAACAAGGTAAATTAAATTAACAAATATTACATATGCATTAAAAGAAAAATTTCACTATAATCATTAAGTAATAGTGCTCTGGTCGGCCGCATCCGACTAGTAGATACCCTAAAGAAATTGAAAGGGAGTTCTCGACTAGGGTATACGCTGGACCCTCTTCTAGCAACACCAAAAGCGGCTCGCGCTGCTAGCTCGTAAAGAAAAAATTTCCCTCAATAAGAGCCGAACCCGTAGAAGACCGCACTACTTGCCATCGCTTCAACTTAAATTGGTGGGTAGTTCCTATTGGCTTATTAATTTGATTTATAGCGCGGGTCGGCTATATCTATAAGATGAAAGATATTACATATATACATATATGCTAGACTATTTGGGCTATATATTAATTTTTGTGGCTTTAGCTCTGATAACTTACGAGATAAATAGCCTCTGTCCACTGAACACATTTCTGAAAATGTCGCATTTTTGCAAAATGTGTAAAATGCGGCTTGTATGTTTGCCCATAAGAAAACTCATTTCGCAACTTCGCCCTGAACATTCGTGTGTTTTGCGATGATTAGACAATATTTCTATCGATATCGTAAAAAATGGTAAAGTATCGTAACCATAAACAGCTGATATATCAACGAAGGGAAGCGGCAACTTTAAATAAGAAATTTTAATTAAAAAGAGTACCTAAATTGGAGCCCTTACTTCGAGAGCGCAATTTTTGAGCTTTGGAAGAAAATGAAGCAAATTAAAGCAACTCGATCAGCTGTTTATTTAAAGAAGCGGTACTATTGCCAGTCACATGTTATCGACAACTGGTAGAACACCAATATTCGAAATTTGAAAATGAGACATTTCTTAAAGCAGTGGACAGAGGATATTACTAAAAATTAGGATTTCGATATCGATTTCTATCGATTTCTTGGAATCAAGGAAAGATATCGATTATCGAATTAATTTTACGCATTTCATATTTTTGCAAATTTTCAACAGGTTAACGGTACAAATAAAAAACACGGTTGAATGAATACCTGTTAAAATTGTAACATTTTTATTTAAATTTTCAAGCCAAACAGAGTCGAACTGTAAATAACATCTAATTATCGCTTTTATACTTCAGGCAAAGCTATTATCAACAGTAAAATTCTATATAAAATTCTTATGCAAATTTGAATCTTCATTCTTCCCATTTTTTAGCAAAATATTTAACTATTTCATATTGATATAAAGGCAACAACAATTCATAAAACTAATCTGAATATGCATGAGCACAATTTTTGAAATGCTTTCAAACTTGTAAGATATTTTAACCTGTAGTACATTTTAAACAACCTCCGCTTAGAGTACCACCACCCCGTCCAGATGGAAACTCTGTCTTTTCACAATAAAAGCTCGCATTATACACCTTGAGAGATTGATCATAGGTTATAATAAAGCTTCCGTAAGGAATTGACTCGACGGTGTAGCACCTCACTCGAAACACTTCAGGATTGGTCTGTGTCACGATCTCTTCTTTTGCAATTCCATTCCGGGTAGTTCTATATGCCAATCAGTAAATTATTAGTGCGCAAAATATAATTAAATCTTAATAGTACACTTTACTTAAGTAAGTATTTGTCACCATCAAGAGGCGTCAGACTAAAGGTACCTCCTTCAATACGACCTATTATCTTCCCCGACGGGGCCGCGTTGGCAAAAACAACGAGGAGCAGCTATATGAAAATAGAGCTTAGAAATGTAGAGCTTATAAAATCGCGAACTTACCAAGCCAAACAGATTTGCTAACATATTGTCGTCGATCTTGCAGTGTTTGAATCTGGCACTGCACTAAGTTTGCAACTGCAAGCAGCTCGTATTTAAGCGCAAATTTCCACTCGTTATTAATATGCAAAAACAAGGCAAATTAAATCAACAAATATTACATATGCATTGAGCTAGTGACCAATTATAAGAAAAAAAAAACATTGTTTCCGGATTCTAAATCGTCGATAAATTGAGAGTCGGAGAGGGAAAGTATGAATCTCGCTTCGTTAACATAATAATTATTAGGTAATAGCGTTCTGATCGGGCGTACCAGACTAGCAGATACCTTAAACCTAGCCTGAGCTGCCTTTACAATTACTCTAGCTGCATTCTGTACATGTAAAGAGAACTCTTTGTTTCAAACAATCTTTTTCAAACCAATAAATAAGTCTTAATCGTGATTTTACTAGCAATATTTACTAATAATTATTTATGTGGCATATTCAAACAAGCTTAGCAGCAGCTGGCAAAACAGGTTGGGGAACATTAATAATTACACAATATTTCTTCGCTATATATTCCTGACGAGCTGCATCGTAAGTACAAATAATTTGATGCTTAAAAATTAAATATTGGTTAATATACTTATTAGCGATGGGTGCAATTAACTAATTAAGATAATCAACAACATTTTGAACATGTTTTTTTTTTTGAGGTGTCAGTTTGTCAAGAACGGATTCATTCTCACTTTCTATCTGATCTAGTCGAGTGTGCCCGACTAGGGGATACCATGAATCTTCCGTCGACACCGAACGCAGCTCGATCTGCTACTCGACTACTTGCCACAGCCTCTTACTCCACAGCCACAGTAGGAGTTGACTCTAGATCGACGCGGCATTTGATGCTGACCAATAATATATATACCTCATGCAGTCAGAGCTAGTGAACTAGTCCATTAAACCCATTTTTACCCACTTTAAGTGGGTTCAGGCACAACGGTCGTGCATTTCTCTAATCATCTATCTAATCGAACATATGTGCGGCAAATATTTGTTATTTATATAGATCTTTGTCATTAGCAAGTCGACTTCATCAAACGTGCTCATTCAAGACTGTATTCAAAAGAGAATGGCCCAATCTAGCCACAACAATACATAAAAATCATCTGTATTTACATTTATATGCTTAAGCACAATTTTTAAAATGCTTTCAAACTAAGTAGTACATTATTTTAACCTACACAAGCTGCCAAACATTGTCCGCTAAGATCATGATCAGTCGTAATGCTAGATGGCGGAAATTTACAGATTTCCTCCTTTGTATAGTTCTGACGAGCTGCATCATAATTAAAAATCAGCTGACCCATGGCGTTGCTGGGGCTCTCGACTCGATATATACCAGGTGTGAGCAGTGCCATGTGCTCTTCACTATAATCAGTGGATGCAAATCAACCAATTATTTATGTTAAAATATAACAAATATGAATGGTATGTTCTACCTTATTTGGTAAACGCCATTTTTATCAGGAAACACAATAAATTGTTGTGGTAATGGTCGAAGTGGTTTCTTCGGCAAACGTGCCGATTGGCCAAGAAGAACCAGCAGCAGCTATTTGCAAAAAAAAAAAGGAATTTAAGTAAGCATTAAAACAGTGATAATCCTGAACTTACTAAGATAAACAATTTTGCAGTCATATTCTCGCCGATTTTGCAGCTTCTGTATCTGACACTGAACTACTTTGTCAACTCCATGCAGATCATATTTAAGTCCTAAACAAACCAAGTTTGCCAAAATTTAATCTATTAGATTGATATGCTAAAATGTAAACTCGTTTCTCTCTTTTGGTCTATCAAGATCTCACATACAAGTTTCGTAGACATACCCAGCTGAAGGTAAGAAAGACTAAAGAAAGTGCCCTTTACTCCATATACGACTCAAGAGAGATGTACCATATATACATATATATATTTGCCAGACCTTTCGGTGAGCTGATGAGAAGTACGCTCTTATACAATTTTCGCAGTTGAGAGCAACAAAGATTTAAGAGCTAAGAGTCTAAGAGTAACTATTTAGCGAGTGAGAGCGTGAGAGTGAGAATATATACTGTCAACACTCTATAGCTAATATATGACCAATTGGGGATTTATATATGCCGAACTTTCGTACGGTCCATGGCTAGCTTCGGCTGGGTAGCAAAACGATTTGCATAGGGCTTGAAGGAAATATAAATAAACGCAACCGCTAACCAGTTGATCCAGTTATGAAACCAAACTCTAATCACATAGGACATCACTCATAAAGTGCTCAATTGCGGACGCCCCGGTTTGCTGGGCCTGTCAGTGCTGTCTGTCTGCAATTGAAGCGATTTTTTTTGCTGCTTTTTTCTTTGACACTAATCAGATTAGTATCGGCAACGCGTTGGCATATAATTCTCTCTCGTTGCACATGCGAGCCAGACGCATCAAATTGCAACGGGGTCTATTGAAACACCCACACCCAAACGGAGAGAGAGAGAAAGAGAGAGGGAGAGAGCGAAAGAGCAGCCCACGAGCGAATAGACCAACATGTCATGAAATGGACGTTCGAGTTGGGTCTGGGATTGGGATTGAAATTGGGACTGGGACTTGGACTGGGACTGGGACTCTGTCTCTTGGTCTGGTGTATTGAATGACTGCCTGACTGACTGACTGACTGTTTGACAGACACTGATGTTGATGAATATCAAGTGAATCCTTTTGTGACATCAAAAAAGGCCTCCCGCTGGGCGGCCACATAGCTTGCAGCCTTAAAACCTTGTGCCAGCGAAAGTGACAGCCACTGCGACGGTGACGGGGACGGGGACGGGGACAGGGACGGGGACGGTGACTGCAATGGCTACGCCCAAGGAACAACGCCATCGGCATCGGCACGGGGCCATCGCGGACTTACTTAGCCCACAAAATGATCAGATTGAAAAACGCAAAAGTTGAGATATGTTCGCCGGGCAGATTGATTGCCAGCGATAGCATGTGGGCCCCTTGTCTAGGGCAAGTGTATAAAAAACCAGAGACAACATAGACAGTGGGCTACGGGGTTAGACTTGAGGTTAGGCACAGCGCAGCGCAGCGAGATGGCAGATAAGGCAGCCAGCCCGGCGTCCGTTTTCAGTTCCAGTTCAGACTGTAATAGACAGCGGCAAGGACATGGAAAATTATGAAAGTGTTGGCGTAGAACAAATCGAATTAGACATTGCGTAAAGTTGATGCCAAGGCAACAGCAACAGCGACAGCAACAAAAAAAAAAGAGGCCGCCATTAAGCTGTTTGAGGCGTAGCGGCTACGGGTGGGAGCTTGAGTCCTTGTCCGGGTTCGAGTCCAGCTCCGCCTGCCATTAGTGCGTGTGATTTCCATTTCATTTCGCTTCGTGACAGTTGGCAACTCCAACAGATTAAAGGCATTTCCCATCGCAGCACGCAATTCGCCTGAATTATTGTTGTCGGCAACCAGTCAGGACAACCAGGACCAGGACCAGGACCGGGACGCCCACCCAGACAGCCAGGCAGCCAGGAGCAGCCAGCGATGCCTCGCGACATGCGTCGATGATACGCAAATGCAAACAAGCAGAGTTCAGCAAAGGAACTGTCCGGGGGGAGCACAGAGTATGGCGATGCCAGCAATAATGCCATGCACATTGTCAGTAAGACAGAGGGAGAACAAAAGAGCGGGAGAGAGAGAGAGAGTGAGAGCGAGAGAGAAATAGTGTTTGATACAGACGGGTGTAAGGCATATGCAAAAAGAAGCAACCGGTCGTGCGTCCCTCGTGTCTTGCGTGTGTGTATGTGTGTGTGTGTGTGCGGCACTTGCACAATCAGCTGTGAAAATTTTGAAAATTTTCCACGAGGATTTTCGCGACTTTTTGCGTATTTTGCATCAATTTTTATCAGTTGGCATCACCAGGCGTAAGTGGGTCGAGCAGGCACAAATGGTAAAGCAGGAGTTGGGCCAGTGGCAGGGGCAGGGGCAGGGGCAGGGGCAGGGGCCGGGGCAAACACGTTAATGGCAAAGCGACTGCGTAAGTGGCAAAAACACGACAAATGGCGGCAACGTCAACATTGAAGCTTTATGCCAGATGAAAGTGCTCATAGGCCGATGAAGATGACGATGAGGGGGCGGTGGGGTAAAGCGATGATAGATTTTGGGCTTGGGCGTAAAGTAAACACTTCCCACTTGCTGGCAAAATAAAAAAATTACTTGTAATATGTGACAATACCAAATGAGCTTATTTTAATGTTGGGTCAAGTTATATGTGAGGATCTCATTAAAAAGCTCTTTAAGCATTACGAAGGAAGAAGAAAGAAGGCTTCTGTATTTGGGGCTGAGCAAAAAGACTAAAGAGAGATTTATCAACAGATATCCGCCAGAACGTCAGCGAGATGTTACCCATGGCTAGCTCCAATTGGGTAACAAAGGATTTAAAAAAATGGAAATTGTAAAGCTAAGCCTGATCAAGAGATGAGCTAAGAACTTAACAAAGCTTCTCTTGTATGTCTGCTCAAACTTAAAATTGAATACAATTTTTGGCTTAAACTGAGATATTTAAATTTAACAATGGATTCATAAGCATGGAGTGTTTCTTGGCAGCTTCAATTCAATGTAAAATTCAACGTATTTTGCGATTGCTTTCGTAATTGCAGCGCAGCTTGCGAGTCAATGAAAACACTTGATTAATCCAAATGAGGCCAATCATTGCGCTCTAATGAACCAAAACTTGGCCAGCGCACGCACCAGCAGCAGCAGCAGGACCAACCATTCACAGCTCAACCCATTGCCCAGCAATAAGCCACGCGTTGAGCCAAAATATTTTGGGTAACGCCTTGCGTACGGCCGGGTTTTAACCCTTTGCTCGACAGGGTGGGGTGGATGGTGGGGTGGCGGTAAAGTACACGATGCCGCAGTTTGTTTTACGTACATTTGCGTGTGAAAGTGCCGATATTTGGGTGACTGTGTGACGTGGTTGATGTCGCCATCTCAGCCTCGTCGTTTGCCTTTAATCACGTGGAAAGGCGCGAAAAGCAGCGCTTAGTGTTTGCCAAAAGCTTGAGCGCGTGCGATTGTGTGTTGAGAACAGAGAACAGGAGCACGAACAGGAACAGGATAAAAGTACAACCAGCAGCAGAGAAGGGTTGCTCTCGGCTGGTTTGCTTATCATTAATCATTAATAATGAAAACGGCGGCGTTAAATCTTGTCGATGTGCCATGCCAAATGCTGGTATTTCATTCATGGCACCAACTATGAGCATCAAGGGGTTGTTGCTGCTGCTGCTCTTCAGCTGGGCACAAAGTGAAGTACCTGTTAATGGGCACTTGGCAAGTGCCTGCTGCTGCTATTGCCTGTGACTGTGACTGTGACTGTGTAATTTGACCCGGGGCTATAAGTTACGCAATTGTGTGCACTTCAAAAAGCGCAAATTGCATAACAGCGCCACCTATGGGCGGCAGCCTTAATTGCAGGGTATGAGAATCCCGAGTTGTCAGCGTTGTGTGTCAAAGTGAGAGAAAGACTGCGTTTCCCCTGCCATTTTCTTTTTTTGCTTAAATTGAAAGTCCTGCGGGACACAGGTTCTGCCGCATTCTGGCATATTTGACGCGCGTAAATGAGTCCTAATGTGTTTTTCACGCAGTCTGTCAAGAAGAAGAGGACAAACAACAGAAAAAACCTGGAAAACCAGCAGCCTAGGTCCATGCGAAAATTTCAGTAAATTTCATATCAAAAGCTGGACCTGTGCACGCTTTTTTTTTCGCTGAAATGTAGAGGGGGCGGGGCGGGATGGTGTTGCGGGCGCTGTTGCGTCAAATTCAATTTAGCATTTTTAAGTGCGTTTGCCTTTGATCAGCGACAATCGAATTTGCAGCAATAAAATGTGCGAGAACGTAACGAGTGTCCTCGATGCGCTGATGTCCTGTTATTCTGTCCTGTCGCCAGTCGCCAGACCCCACGACCCAACGCCCGACCCCACTGCAAACTGATTACTCTTGCCGTTTGATCAGCAGCCGCAGCCGGATTCGGAGCGAACGAGCGAGCGGACAGTTAGCCAAATGTCCTGTTCGTTCCATTCACATTCATAAATATTCAATCCCGTATCGAGCGCAGAATCCACGCTGCCTACTCAAACTTCTGTGCCCATAATTACGAACACACACGCACACACACACACAGTGTATATATATAGCCACTAGGCACTACGAGTACAAATTCGAATACTAATACGACTAGAGGAACACACGTTGAGGACTTTGTCAACTGGAGCAGCACACGGCTCATTGGCTGCCTTTAGCCGCGGGCCAAGAATCGAGCACAGATGCTGCACGCTGGCAAACCGAAAGTGGCGGTAATTTGGCAACTACTTCGAGCTGGTCTGAAGTGTGCGTGTGTGTGTGTGTGTACCCACTCCAGTCTGCATCTTTGGCAGCGACAATTGACAATACAATTGAATGTCAGCCGCTGCCTCTTCACACAGTGTGGCAATTACAAGGAGTGGCCCGGATTGGCCCAGTTTGACTTCGGGCTAGCCATGAATTCCATGCAAGTTACAGCGCTCAATTGACGAGCATCAGCTTCATTATACCCTTTACCCAAGAAACGGGTATAACAACTAAAGCAGCTGGTGAGCTTAGCGGAATGAGATGAGCCAAAGCTGCTTAGTTTGGATTAATGCTGGGCAGCTATAATTGGCCATTGTTAATTACAACTGTTCGTTGTAGGAATTCATGATTGTGCCGTGTCTTTTTTCTTTTAAATATTACATAT